TTTTTTTTTTAGTGCTTCATGTTTTCTAGAAAAATGACATGACTATGTCTCTTTCTGACAGGGAGGTATTGGACCAGTGGGCAACCCTGGGCCTCGGGGAGTGAAAGGCTTCCAGGTAGTTGCTTTAAATGATTTATCATCATCATTTTTTCTTATTACTATTTCTTAATTTAATGACTTTGTGTCATGTGCTGCAGGGAGTCAAAGGAGACTTGGGAGATCCGGGTCTTCCAGGACCAACGGGAATTCGTGGAGAATTTGGTGACAGGGTGGGTTTTTAATTATTCAGGAGAATGATGTCCCTGTAACATCTTAAAATGTCTGTTTTGTCACCCCAGTAGTCCAAAATGCAAATGTGACCAGTTTACTGCTGAAGTAGAATATGACAGCAAGAAATGTAAAGTGATGGAGTGACTGACTTATTTGTTGCTAAAAAAAACCCAACCCCAGTATAAAACAAACATGGACATGTGTAGGTGTGTCCCCGCGTATCTCCACACAATCACAGTGGAGACGTGTGACTGTCCAGCTGTGTTCACGTTAGGACACTGTATCCCACTGTATTACCATCCTGTCTCAGTCTTAGTGGTATAAACTCAAACTGCAGCCCAGCACAGACACAAAGTGGCCTCCTGTTCAGAACATGAGGACAGAACAAAGCCAGCCTTTATACCAGTCCTGGTTCCCCTCAACCAGCCCACCGTGCTTCCTTTCATCCCCCACCCCCATCCTTTTCCCAGCCAGCCGGCCTTCAATAAATATCTCTGCATGCCTCTTATTTATTCTCTCATTCTCTTTTTTCAATCCTATAGGGCCCAGTCGGGGCTTCTGGACCTAAAGGAGACATGGTAAGTCACCAACATGACTAAAGGTTATGACTGATGTCCTGTGATAGTTTTCATCCAGCTTTTTGAAAAGTAAACTAAAGAAATGATTATTTTATATGTATAGTCCTGCAAATACATAGATTTTTCATAAGCTTATAAGATGAAAGACTTTCTTCAGTTATGAGTTATGTCACATGCAGTTCAGATCTCACGTTGTCATTTCAGGGTGTTGCAGGAAGTGATGGGTTACCAGGAGAGAACGGAGATCCTGTAAGTGTTTTCGTCATTGTCTGAATACTAACACTGTGCGGTGTTCATAACCTACAGAGCAGTTGCTGTGCTTGCAGTAGTTAGTTGTACTCTTGGTACAGAGGCTAAGACCATTCCACCTACTCAAGTACATGCACGTGTCTTTAACGCACTTCATTGTTTTGTACAAGTGTATTTGGCTCCACGGGTCCTTTCACACGGGTTTTATGGTGCTGGACAAAAAGTTTTAGGGAGGTATCTTTTAGTTTTTGCTGCCAATGGATCAGAAAACACTGAAAATATGGATATTTGTACATAATTATAAACAATTATTTAAATCTACTTATTCTGATAGTGTATTTCTCTGTATTTTAGCATGACTTTGGGCTCTTATCTATTGTCTTTATCCCCTCTTTTTTTTTATTCAAAGCTGCATGAAAGATGCTGTACCAAACAATGTTTGACTGTTTGAATGCTGCATACTGTTCTGTAACATAACGTTTTCAGAATTATCTAAAACAATGTCCTTATTTCCAGGGTCCCTTTGGGCCAGTGGGACAAAAAGGGCAGGTGAGCTATATTTCCTGTTACATTTTGCAATGTTTTGTGCTTTTACATCTTAGAAATCAGCTTTTTATCACCAAACTATTAACATCTATTAACACCAAACATAGATCAGATGTTGTGTGTGGGTGTAATTAGCAGCAAGTTTGTTCCAAACTCCCTCTGTTTCTGCTCCCTCACTAAACATTAAAAACTGGCACCTAGCTCTGAGCTTTTGCCTACTTGTCAGAGTCACTGCACATGATTCAGCCTCACATTCCATGTTTAATAGGATTAATTAGAGATAGGTATTGCTGCTTTAGCTTTATTGGCCTGTTTGCTGCTATGGCCACGAGGGAAAGGCGAGTAACATTAAGCTGCAGCACAATTTATGTAATTAGAGACAGCACTGATGAGCCACCCTCTCTTTACTGTTTGCTGTGCTAGTTGGAGTAATTATCAAGCAACAAGATGCCACCCTCACGTTGTTTCAACAGACCCAGTTTGCTCCTCGTTTGGTGTTTAGTCAGCAATCAAATGTTATGGATGTTTTCAGCTTCAGTTTGGAATAAATCAATTTGTTTTTGCAAACATAATGAGCTATTTAACAGATAATTGTTGTTGATTGTAGCCGGGGAAGCGAGGTGAACTGGGGCCTAAAGGAGTGACGGGTCCACAAGGAGAGGTTGGGGGAAGAGGGCTTCCAGGAAAAGAAGGCCCAATGGGCTTCCAAGGGGAACAGGGTGTGCCTGGACTTCCAGGAAAGAGAGGTGTACCTGTAAGTGTGCTGTTCTTTTTTTCTTTTTCTTTTTTTTTTTTTGACTGCACAAAACTACCTGTTTAGAATATATAGATGTAAATGGTTTCATATAAACTGCCTCAAATCTGGTGTTTCAGGGTAAACTGGCAAGTGAGCAACACATCAGAGAGCTATGTGGCCCAATGATTGATGGTGAGAGATCCTAATTCAATCTTCACGTGTAACTCATTCTATTGTCAAATATATATATGTATATATTTTTTTAAATGTGGGGTTTTTACCTTTTGGTGCTTCTCCAACATGTAGATCAGGTTGCACAACTGGCTGCCAACCTGCGAAGACCCCTGGCACCTGGAATGGTGGGCCGCCCCGGCCCTCCAGGGCCGCCAGGAAAGCCAGGAGTTGCAGGCTCTATTGGGCATCCAGGTGCCCGAGGTCCACCAGGGTACCGAGGCCTGCCAGGAGAACTTGGAGATCCAGGTCCCAGAGGTATGAAAAATGAAACATGTCACAGGAGCACAAAAATAATTTCACTGCTGTTTAGCTTTACGGTTGCATAATCAGATGGTTAACATCAATGATAGAAGACATACTCAGATCCTTCACTCAAATAGCAATAGTACACAAGTACCAGTAAACACGTTGTACTAAAAGACATATTAGCAACATAACAACTTAACTATTCAAAAATAAAAATATTCATTTTAGATGGAAAGAGATTTAATCATTCATTACTTCAGTGTAGAAACAATACATGAGATATTTAAGGCTGCTGATTACCAGCAAAAGATTGTGAGATGATTGGGCTAAAAAACTTTCTTGCTACCCAAATATGAATTCTGTTTTCTTACTTTTGTTTGCTTTTCCTTACTAAAATATTGGATCATTTGGTCTAGCTAAGCCTCGAGCAGTTACTTCCATGAAACCATCCCGAGTTTTTGGGGTTAAGAGAGAGCCATATTTGGTGGAAAAGCTAATTAGTCATGACAAAAAGCCCCACTGGGATTTTTATAAGAGGCAGCAAGACACAAAGGTTTGAATTCACTGTAAAGTTTAAACTGGTATAAAAAGGAAACATGTAAACTGTACTTTAGCACAACACCTATGTAAATGCACTTTGTTTCCACCACCGATTGAAATTTTCTGCTTTCACAACAGGTGATGTTGGTGAGGCAGGTGATAAGGGATTCATTGGTAAAGCCATTGATGGGCCTCCCGGAGACCAAGGATACCAAGGTATGTGCTCTCATACGGAGAACTTCCATCTGAACCAGTCATTGAACTACTGTTCTAAACATCCACTCATCTCAGACTTTGACTTGTCAAACAGACATAAGTGTATAAGTCTTCTGTCACTCCTGCAACTTCTAACTACAGCACATTCCCACAGGTCTTCCAGGGGTACCTGGAATTGTTAAAAATGGGCGCGATGGCTCTCCAGGAGATCCAGGTGAGCCCGGAGAGCCAGGCAGAGTAGGCAGGACTGGGCACCAAGGACCTCCTGGAATCTGTGACACATCAGCTTGTCAGGGAACATCACCTGCTGGGAAATCCTCTAACCCCAAAAACAATTAAGCATAAGTTCCTGCACCCTGACACCATCCACTCTGAGGTGAGAGTTATAAGTGAGGATAAAAGGAATGAAAGAAGAGAGTGGCCACAAAAAAAAGTCCTCTTTATTTAAATACATGCATCACAAGTTGGGAAGAGTAACATCAGATGGTGTGATATTTCTGACAAAATAGAGGAACATCCAGCGAGTGACATGAACATCAGCGCAACTGAGAGACAAAAAAAACAAACAAACAACTTTATGATATGAAATGGAGAGAGGTAAGGAGAAGTGCAAGAGAACAACTGCATTGATCCAAGTACTATCACATGACAAGACTTGACTTACAAAACACCTGGAAAGTGAATGATGAGTCCTTTGTGTATAAAAACTTTGTACATGTCGCTTCAACGCCCCAAACACTTTGATTAACATCCTTCTGCAGATAACACTAAAAAAATGGTGACTGTCTCTGATGTGAATGTGCATTTATCATGGCCCATTATGTAAATCACAGATGTTACCTCAACATGGAAATAAGTGCAAGAAGCATAAAAGCCTCTGTGGAGGAGCTGTGTATGTACTGTAAAAGGAATAAAAAACAAAAATCCAGGTTCCCAGACATTGTGTAGATTAATGCAAGAAAAAAAAAGGTTTGATAGTCTTTTTTTACAGCTTGTTTTCTGTTATTGTTTTTTTTATGACATGTGAATTCGATTCTTCAGACTTCAGAATCAAAAGCAAAATAAACTCATGAAAGCATAAATCACACATTGTAAAATACAGTTTAAGAATATTAGGAACAAAGTTTTTTTTTTTCCAATCTGCAATGACCACATCCACTATGTACTACCGGTGCTGTAACTATTAAATATACATGACTTTAAATACTATTTATTATTTGTGGGTGACTGTTGTATGTACAGTAAGATGCTACAGCGACATGTTGTAAGAAAGAACAAATAAAGCCACTTTTCAGTAAAACATTACTCTTCTCTACATATCAAATGAACAGTCTGCTTTTCAGAATACTCTGCTGTAAACACTGAAATCAAAAAAGTCCATTAACTAACTAGGAAGTAACACTTACTTTGATACCAAACTGCTTAAATATCCAAATACAGAACAGATGTTGGCAGGCACTCAGTAGAAAACATTCTGAATGAATAAAAACGAACAGAAAACAAGACATTAAAGTGCAATTTTGAATACAGGGTATAAATACTGCACATATTATCAAAATAAAATAGTTGAAGGGACGGCATCTGCCAACTAGAGCGCCGCCTGTGCTTTTCGAAGAGAAACAGCGCCATCTGTGTGTGGAAAGCCCTTCCTTTCCAAAAGGTTGATGTGTTAAACTCGGCCCTCACACTACCTGAACTAATCCTTCCAGTTTCTAGATCGTTGCAGTGTGATCGAAAGGATATATTTAACCATGTCAACAATACTTCATCTTAACCCCACACCCACACCTCACTGGGCAAGCCTGAGCTACTCTGACAGTTGAATTCAGTTTAGTGGCTGACATATAGAAGAAAACAATGAGGAGAGGTTACTGCTCTGCTGCCAGGGAAATGCTGCTCAGTGTCTCATCCATCCTGTGGTGCACTGGGTCCTGACCTGAGCTGGACTTACCAAAGCGCTCTCTCTCATGAGCGAAGACTTTCTGGAACTCCTGCAAACAGAAGAATTGGAGATTGAAGTGGTTCATGACACATAGTACCAGAGATGTTTTATCTTCCTGCAAGTCTATAGCTGTCTAGATCGCCCTTCTGGTGGCATAGTGCATGTTGTAAGTATGGCGTGATTTTATTTGCTGCGTTGTACATTTTTTTCCAGCATAATCTAACTGCAGCAGATGATTTCTCTCAGTTAAAACAATAAAGTTTATTTGATTTTAAACTGTAAAAATGTGAAGACTTTAGTTTGAACTCTAAATAACAAAAGTCACAAAGTTTCCTTCACTAATTAGACAGGCAGCAAGGGGAAATGTAATTAACTCTTATCTTCCAGCCACAGCTTTCTAGTCTCAGATAATTCAGTTAGAGGACACTTTTCATCAATCACTTTTCTACACATGCCCACCTCTTTAAAAGTGTCTCCATACGTTTTAGTAATGTATCTCAGGAAAGCTGTGGTCCACTGCAGGGTGGTGACTTTGTCCGTCTCCGAGTCACAGAACGGCACCAACGCATTCAGTTCATCACAGCACAAACGAATCCTCTTCCTGTACGACAGCGCAGACAATGCAGATGATTTTGAGCGATGCAGTCCTGTATATTTAATAATCAGTCATCAGTCACTAAGAATTCTTTGGTAACTTGTCAGCAGTTTCAAATCATGAACCATTTAACTTCTGAGTGTATCGGTTTTAAACTGATTTAGCATTTGCATAGGAATCAGGTTTCTTTTCAGTCCTCAGTGACACTCTTATTTTAAATCAAAATAAATCAAGTTTCCACATAAAGCAGCTAAAACTAATGATCACAACCCAAAAGATGTTCAGTTCTGATGCGTTGCTGTTGCACTACTTATCTGAATATATTCAAACGAGGACTGAGTTCACTTAAATCATGCCATCACCACACTGTGAGTGCGAGGCTCTGAGAAGAAACTATGAATGCACTTTTGGTAAAAGGACTGGTTCTTATTTAGCACTTTTCTACTCTACTCAAGCACTCAAAGCGCTTTATACAACATTCACCCATTCACGCAAGCACTTTCTATTACTGAAGGATGCATCAGAGTACAATATGGGGTTCGGTATCTTGCCCGGTGATACTTTGGCATGCAGACTGCACAAGCCATGGATTGAACCACCGACCTTCCAATTAATAGATGACCTGCTAAAACAGAGACAGACAACCACACATATTCAACTACAGCCATCGCTAACCAGTGCACCACTGTTCCACCCGAAATAGAGGACAAAATGTTTAAAATTTGTAAATTGAAATAGTTTTCTTTTTGTGCCTAAATGCAACGCCTTTTAAATCTCTGACCTTAAAAGCAAGCACACTTAACACACTTTAAGCATCCCAGGATATTCCTGAAATGCAAATGTTTATCTTGTTGCACACTATGGATGCAGGGACGCTTCCATGTGTAACCTTCGGCTGCTCACCTGCGCTCCCTCTCCTTACTGTTGTGTCTCTCCCGGCGCTGGCTGAGCAACATACTAGATCTAGCAATTTTCCTCCTGCTGCTCTGTGGCTCTCCAGCAGAGTCTGGGGCGGCTTTAGCAGCTTTGGGTATCACCGCAGCAGGTATCACTGCATCCTCTGTGAAAAAAACCCAAGCATGTGAGACCAAGTTAGACACAGCCTTTCAGTCCATAATTGTAGCCAACAACACAGTTATGGCTTATGAATAAATATTAGAATACTAATTATTACTTTCTAGATTAACCAAAGGCTGCTCTTCTGCTGGGTGAAAATTTAAAACGCTCTTGGGGATCATAACCTGAAATTAAATCAGAAAAATCAAGGATTAAACAGTGGGCTCTGCTTTACCATTAAGATATAATAAAAGCACATTGATTTGTTTTTTTCCCCCCCCCAGCATACCTGTCCACACGTGTTGGTGACTGGGCCATAAACACCCTCTATATATGAACTAGACACCCCAAAAGAATTTGCTCTGTCCATTTTCACCCACTTCTGCTTTGGAGGATGCGTGACTGTCTCTTGAACCTCTGCAGACTGCTGAAGTATTGTCAAAAAACTGAAACATGACATATCACACAAAATGAGTACATGTATGCTATACTTTAATAAAATGATAGTCACATATAGTATATACATATCTCTGAAACTTACTTGCTGAGAACTGCAGACTGTATATCTTGTTGTCTTGTGGTTTCAGCACACATGGCGCTAAATCTTTTCTCTAAGCAAACTCTAGCAGCTGGTCTGGTGCGATTCTGTACAGACTTCTTGTCACTGGTAAAAGGTTCAGCTGGGCTTTCTTCAGCTCTAATTCTGGCCAGCACAAAACCTGGCACCTCTCCATAAGACACTGGTGTCTTTTCTCCAGGCATTACTATACAGTGGTCTTCATTTGAAGTTGATAGATCAATAGCCTGAGCGCTTCTGAAGGGAGAAATCACTGTGGATGTGGCCTGTTCTTTGACCATCACTGTAGAGAGGTGACATCTGACATCTGGAAACTCTGACTGTGCCTCCACATGGGCTTGGAGAAGATGCTGAAGGTGAGAACAGTCAACCTCTGTCATCTCCATCAGCCCAAGCTCACTGCCCAATACCTCCCCATGTTCATGGGTAAAGCATCCACCTTGACTCACAATCATTCCAGCAGAGTCACTTATCTGTTCTCTCGATGAAGGTAACACATTGATGTTTTTACAGGTTGAAGAAAAGGACATATTTCCCTACAGATCAGGAAAAATATTAGATATAATACAGAACACTTACTCTAAATACTTTGTTACTTAAAGTTACTCTTAATGTTAGCTAAAGAAATTGTATAATTATAATTTAGGTCGTGAAGGTACGTTGTCGTGAATTTTAGCTTAGCTACAATTAGCAAAGGAGACGTTGGCATAACCTGGGCAAAATCAACAGGCTGTACCGCCATTTTAAAACTTGTAATACTATTAGAAACTCCAGGGCATTTAAAACAATCAGTCTTAAGTTATACAAATGCATAAAAGGTTGTTACTGAATTAATAAAGTCTTTGTACCGCTTTCTGTTCGGGGATTAGCACGTATTAATGCTTGGCCTCAGGCTGTAACGACGACCGTGTCCAGTTACCGGCGCTAACCTTCTCCCCGTCACAGATAAACCTCCGATTATCTCAGTATACAATCATTTCTTTAAGCTCGTAAGCGGAACTTTAAACACAAAAACAAGCGGAAAATATACGAGGGGTCCTAAAGAAAACCGACAGCTGTCATCATAAATTACTTATGTAAAATTAGAAAATGTTTTTTTTTTTTATTGATCAGTTAGGGGGCGGAATAGTCCTACTTTTTCCACGCTTTTCTGTCATTCAGTATCTTTTTGGCGATCAAAAATAGTTAAATATGTTACATTTTTATACAAAAAACAGAATATGTAAATACATTGATTGCAGCTTCTTGAAACTTCATGGTTAGACAACTACATTTATACATGCGCATAGATAGATAGATAGATAGATAGATAGATAGATAGATAGATAGATAGATAGATAGATAGATAGATAGATTTTCTGTTTTGATTATTTGATTCATAAAAACTGAAAGAGTGTCATTTTTTAAATGAATAAAAGCATTTGCACCTAAAAAAAAATTAGCACAATAAAAAAATATCTTAAAGTCTTTAGATATATAAAATAACTATCTAGTTTGAACCTCGTGGGGTCCAAAACAGACTGTGTCTCATGTGTTAAACCTGTTATGGTCTGGTGAACTTTCCAGATTTACCTCATCTCCTGCTCTGAGCAACCTGGGATAGGTTTCCCCCACACAAATGACCCTACCTTCCATAAGTCGTTGAGAAAATGAATTAAATATATATTACAAAGAGAAAGAAGTTTAAGCACCACCCCTAACAGCACAACTGGCCAACATAGTACTTTTCTACATAACAAAAACTGTTCCACAATACTCATTCACATTGCAAAAACTGTAATGACTTCCTTATTTATTTTAAATAAAAGATTATTTCCAGTTGCAGTTCAAACTTTATACAGATTATCTCTTAAGACCTGAGAATAACACTACTATGGAAAACAGAGAAATTAATCCTAAGTAAAATGACAGAAAACAACAGAACAGCAGTAACAATGCTTGAGTTAAACTAGACTCCTGCAATACAAGTTTTATACATGTGGAGGGTTACAGAAAATATGTAGACCCACTTTCGCATATTGTGATTTCCACACTACCCAGCAAGAGGCCTCGAAAACCTAAAAACAAATTAAGTATTGCCTTAATTTGCCTGAAGTTTGAATCCATCGTGTGTGTGTGTGAATCAGCACCCACTTTACAAGACAACCAGTAACAATTAATACCTCAGAGTCATGAGTAATCTTTACAGTGATCAGAAGATCTGAAATGTTTCACCGAATAGTTTTAGCAGTTTGTATTTAAATAAAATAATCCAGCTTTTATGTCTCAGAATAATTTATTGCCATAAAGGTAGTAAAACTGTCACTTTTCTTTGATATGAGATTTGCTTGTTAAATTAACTGGTTTTAAGCTATCAATCTAAATGTGACAAAATAAGACTTCATATAAAGTGTGTTACTTTATTGACTTCTTGCATTCTAAAAGAAATGGAACGGGTCATTTTTAACCAACAGAACTACATAAAAGAAGATGAGAGCTACCATATTGACAGTCTGGCTATTAAAAAAACAAACACAGAAAAAAAACTGTACATTTTCTGTACAAAACATTTATGACTTTGTCAATCTACAAATACAAATAAAGTTAAATTTACAACTGAAAATTATATTTAGCAGGACTTTTACTAATAATCAAAAAAACAATACTAAAAGCATCTACTTTGAAAACAGAAAAACTACAACACAATAAACTTAAATGGTAATCTCTGAGCACTTTTCTATCAAGTTACAAAGTTGGATTTTTTGCATGGCTTTGCCTGTATGTCATATTAAAATTTAACAAGCACATGGGTAGTCAGTCTCAGTGAGAAAAGAAATACATTCATTGGGCATTATGATAAGGTATTTCTGTCAAGTCTAACAATGCTAAGCAATTTTAGATGTCTGATTCTTCAGCTTTAGGTCCTTAAAGGTCTGCATGTTTTTCCCAGTGACTAATCTGGCTCACCATTGCTTTAATTTCCAACACTGATAATAGAGGTTAATTGTTTGTTTGTTTTTAATTCTGAAACCCATTATTATTTTTTCCCTCAAATTGACCTTATCCTTTGTTTCTTCTTCCCTTATGATTGGACCTTCAGGTGTGCTATTTTCTTTCTTCTTTCTTACAAGCAGGTTTTACCCATTCTTTACATGTTATCAATTTACCTACATCTACTCCGCTCTGTCTGTTGGAAATGTGTTTTAGTTTCATGCCAAAATCCAAGGAATCATATTTTGGGGAAACGTATGAGACCTTCTTTTGGAGTGGGAAGTAAGGCACCTCTGTGTCTTTGAGGTCTTATGGCTTGCTGATTTTGTGGGTTTTCAAAACCAGGGAATGGTTTTCCTCCGCTATTTGGACCTGGGCCACGGGGCCTATTAAACTGTGCCAAATGTGGATCTCCAGGATGTTGGAATCTTGCAATGGGACGAGGACCTCTTCGTTCATTAATGGGTGTATGACCTCTCTGCCTGGGATCTCTCCCCCTTATATTTGGGCCCCTACTAACATAACCTGCCCCCCTTATATCTGACACCTGCATGTCATTATTTGGATCTGGCTCAGACCTAGTGTTGTCACCCCACCTACCAGGTCCATTTCTAAAATCTGAACGCTGAGGTGATGGCCCCCTGCTGTCTGTTTTATTGGGCCCCAAAGTTCTCATTTTTGGACCTCTACTTTCCCTTCTGAAATCAAATCCTTGTCTACCTGGTTCAGGATTTTCAGGTTCTACATTATGCCTTTCAGATCTTAGATCACCACTATCTGAAAATCTCCCATCACACCTTGGAGCTTCAATGCTTAGATTTCTGTTTGCAGGTCCTGGGGGTCCTAGATCTCGACCTGCTGGAGGTCTTCTATCAGGGCCTTCCATCTCAAATTGCCTCCTGTTTAGACATGAATTCATCAGGCCTGGACCTCCTCTGAGAGCCCCACGCCCTTCAATGTTTGGCCCTCTCATTTTTCCCCTGACATTTGGCAGCCTCCAGTCATTTCCCATATCTGGATGATTGTGCATATGTGATCCTAGCCCTGCTTTTCTGTCTTGTCCTCTATTGTCTAGATCTCTTTCTCCTGTAAAGAATTCCCCAGCACCCTCTCTATCAAGCTCTGTCCAATCATTTCCATGACCTCCCCTACTTGGCCCTGGGCATACCATATCTGGATTTTCTTCAACAGGCCCTGCACTTCTGCAGCCAGGAGCATTCCAGTTATGTCTACGACCCCTTACAGGTCCTTGAAATAACATACTGGGTCTATTCTGCATGGGACCTGGTCCACTACTTTCAGGGCCTCTCCATTCACTAAATAGGCCTTGATTAATATCTTCTTGGTCCTGTTCATCTTGACCCTCTTGGATAGGTCCAAATCCTCTACTAGCATATGTTTCCCAGTCATCCACTGAGCATTCTCTGTCTTGTCCTAAGAATTCTATATTGGTCCTTCTTTCATCTAACCTTTGTTCCTCTGTGTCTGGCCCTCTCCTCTCAGGAGCAGAACCCCAGAAGCCGGGCCCTGGTCTTCTAATGTTTTTCCTCATAGGCCTTCGACCTCTAAAGCTCTGGCCCAATCGATCAGGTTCTGGGGCATGGTAATCTGGGTTTTCTTGAATAGGTTCACACGCTACCCAGTCATTCCTTCCCCCATGTCTTGGATCTTCAGTATTTGAACTTTCATGTTTGTAGCCTGGAACTCTTAAATCAGGGCCATCTGATTTTCTCCAACCTGGTCTTGAGCCCTCCATATCTGGATATCTTTTTTCACTGTAGTCTGGACCTACTAGAGCTATTCTGTCAGGCCCAGGATCCACATCAGAACCTGGCCTTTCCACCCGCTGTGCACCAAATTCTGGACCCCTCCTATGAGGCCCAGGAATCTCCATATTTTGATACCCAACTTCTTTTCCACGACCCCTGAAATGTGGTCCACCTCGTCCTCTGTTGTGAGGCCCTAGATCTCCCACACCTGGACCAATTCTTTCAGGCCCAGCAACACCAATATGTGAACCTCTCCTGTCAGGACCCTGTCCACTTGTGTTTATTTCTCCAGGTCCTCTCCTTTCAGGTTCTTGGCTATGCATAGGAAAACTTGGTATTTCATTTATTGGCCCACTAAAATCTGGACCTTGTGAAACTCTGCCAGGCCCCATAGCAAGACCTCTACAATCAGACCCTAGCCTGCTGATATCAGGACCTCCAGGTCCTCTTCTCTCGGGCCTAGAACCTTCTATAGGTCCTGGTCGTCTATTCTCATGTCCAGGACCTTCGATAGACATACTTTCCCTCTCATGCCCTGGTCCTTTAAATTCTGGACACCCAGCCCCTCTCCTATTAGTCCCAGGATCCTCCATGGAATCTCTCCTTTCAATTCCTGGACCTCTACTATCAGACCCTGGACCAGCCATATCCAGACCCATCCTTTCACCCCAGGTTCCCCTGAAATCTGGACCGCCAGGACCCCTGATGTCATGTACTTTTTGCTCCATATGTGGACCTTTTTTCTCAGGTCCTAATCCTCTAAAATGTGGACCCACAGGACCTCTTCTGTCAGGTCCAGCAACCTCCATGGCTACACTTCTTCTTTTAGGTTCTGGTCCCACAAAATCTGAAGCCCCTGGTATTCCTAAGTCAGGTCCTTGATTGTCTATAATGGGGTCTATCCTTTCAAGTCCTCCTTCCATGAGGTGTGAGTCCTCTGGTCCTCCACTATTAAGCTTTGGATACTGCATGTTTGGACCTCTCATTTCAGCCCCTGGTTGTCCGAATTCTGGGCCTCCACTCCCTCCCGTGTAAGGTCCCTGGCTTTCCATGTTTGAACCTCTTCTATCAGACAAATGGACACTCCATTCATCTTGTACCAATGGTGCTTCCCTGACTGAATCTGACCCTCTCCAATGATCTCTTATGTCTGATCCTGGGCCATTCCAATCTGGAGCACTTATATGTTTATTTTGATTCCCCTTATCCCTTAGTCCTTCACCTCTCCAATCTGAATTCAACATGTTTGAATTAACTGCATCTGCATGACTGCCACCAAGCTTGCCAAAATCTGCATTTGTGCCATGTGGCTGAAGAGTACTTTTACGGGGGCACCTTTCTTCAAAAGCCATACTGCCATCATGTCTTGTCTTTGGAGGTCTTCCTAAGCCCATAAACAATGGACCTGACTCCCTCATCCCACTACTTACATCAGATCTAAAAATCTGACCTTCATCTTTATCTTTTTGTCCTCTACCACCTCCACTACTATCTGGAGCCATAGCTTCTACCTGTGGACCCCCAAATGTTCCCATTTTTTTCAAATCTTTCTTGATATCTATGTTTTCTGGCTCTGATCTATGTTCATTTGTCTTTGGACACTGTAAACCTTCCTGCACACAACTAACATTTTGGTTTCTCTCATTAACTTCAAACAGCCCCCTCATATCTGTATTTAGATGATACACAGCTGATAAAGAATCCCTTGGACCTGGACCAACATTACCAGGTGCAGATCTGTCAGACAAAGGGCCCTTCATGATGTTAACTTGTCTTTTGCGCTGGAGGCTTGCCTCTCCCATATACAAATTTGTAACAGTAGGTACAATATTTTGTGTAACATCAGGACTTGGGCATTTTATTTCTGGATTTACACCAGAAATAAAAGGCACACCAGCATTATTACTATCTAGTGCTTCACTTCTCATTTCTGAATCTCTCAAGGCTGGCCATGAACCAGTTATTACAGTATTTTGATGTTGAATACCTTGTTCTCTCATTCCTAAGATTGTACTTGGATTTGAATATCCTCCCTCTTGACCCTTTGTTTCTGAATGCTTGAAGCAAGGATTGTCTGCTAGTGTCTCATTATGTGTCTCTGTCAGACCTTGTCCCTTGGCACCAAAAGCTTTCAGATTCAATGCTCTAAAATCCATGCTTTTAATATTTGAGATCACATCTCCAACAGACACCATTGCTTGACCACAAATTGGCAAACAATTATTTTCAAAGACTCTAATATCTTCCCTTGAATCGCTGACTTCATCAGTTCTAACAGAGTCATTCTTTTCTATGCTGCTAGGTTTCACAAACTGTGGTTCTGGATCTGGGCTTTGGGGAGAATCTCGAATAGGTGGATCAATTTCTCTAAGAGGAATTGTACTGTCAAGTTTGCTGTGAAACAAATTGTCCTGTTTATAGAGTTTATTTTGCTGTGTCATATCATGGTCACTCAGTGAAATCTTTTGAAACTCCTGAAATTTTGGTGGTTCGGAAATCTCAAGCTTCACATTACATAGAGGTTCGTGTGAGTGTTTTTCAGAGCTCTCAACATGATTACACTCTGATTTTTGTCCATCTGGATCACTTTTGATTGTAACATGTGATATGTTACTCTCTTCAAATTGTCCAGCAGAGTCTAGAGAACTGCATGGAACACTTGCATGTTTTGATTTCTCAGGGACCTGAGGCAAGGGTCCTCTGTTCAGTTTTGGTGAAACTGACACAGATTCTGTTTTTCTAGAAGAAGATGGGGATCTTCTACGCCCAAGAGAATGCCGGCGTGTGGTATGATCTTTGCGATGGCGTCCCTGCCGTTCAGATGGATCTCTAACTCTGTGTCTTGACCTGTCTCTTTCACTCTTTCTGTGTCTATCCTTTTCTCTGCGTCTTCGGGACCGAGAACGAGAACGATGCTGTGACTGTCTTGAAGGACTTCTGTGGCGGTCCCTTTCCCGATGACTCCGCTTTTTTGGTGATGACCTTCGTTTTCTACTGTGGTATGAATTTGGAGACATACCCTTGTGAGAGCCACCATACCTTGCTCTAGGCACAGAGTCCATAGTTGTTACAGTTCCCCCCTTAAAAACATCATCTTGAATTTCATTGAAAAGTGATTCATCCTCAGGATCATAAGCTACATCAGAATCTTCAATCTCTCCAGCAGATGAATATTTGTCAGATTCCACACCTTTCTGTGTTTCATCTTGCTTTGCAACACCATCTGTATCATTTCCTAAATTTTTGACAGGTGTTGCGTCTTCTACTTTCACAGCTTGTGAATCCAAATTTGAATTGTCCACAGTCTCTGTAAGGGGGGTAGCCTTGTCTGTTGTTTCTGAAGATTTTGACTCTGTTTTTATAATACCTTTCTGCAGAGAGGACAGTTGGTTAAGCGGCAAAGATTTTTGTGGGGGAGACATAAGTGAATCCGAAACAGAAAAGTGAGCCATGAACATTCCCACAGCCTCTCTCTGCTGACGTAGTGCTTCCTCCTGCTCTTTTAACTGCCGTTTTTGCTCTTCAATTTGTTTATTGAGTTCCTCAAGCATCCTCTGTTGTTCACTTAGTGTTGCAGCTGAGACAACCACTGTGCCCGTAGGGAGTTGTGGCATGACTGCAACTGGAGCAGAAGCTTGTGCTGGGGAAGAAGTGGAAACCGTCACTGGGCATGATGGAGAATCAAATGTTTGAGTTGTAACAGGGGGCTTTGCTACAGGAGTATTACTTTGAATATCTTCAAAGATAGTGTCGTCCTCTGGATCATAGGCCACATCATCTTCCACAAAGCTTGATAATGCTGGGGCATCAGCTTTAATTTTTTCTGTGGTCTGTGGAGCAACGGTTGCATATCCCATTGCTGGATCATATTCTTCCTCTGGGTCATATGGTCGGTCAAAGTCATTTTCATCTTCAATCTCCTTGGCTTTGGTTTTGTGTCCATACTGTTGGACAATTGGATCCACCACTGATCCAGAAAGCACTGGGTTCTTCTTAACAGTTACTGTTGTTTTTGTAGAACGTCCATCAGAGACAGTGGAGTCAGCCTGATTACTACGAAACAAGGTACTCAAGATTGTCTGTAGTGGTGTCTTATCACTGGATGCAATAATGGGATTTTTATCAGAGCTGCTGTTAAAGGTGGACTGTGTTGCAGCAATAGTGGCTGAGGTAGAAACAGAAGGGGCCGCTTTAACGGAAGTTAATAGAGATGGTATGGTGACTGAGCCAGAGGAGGAAGAGTCTGTTGGTGACCCAGGGCATGATGGTGAACCAGGAGGGGTGGTACTAGCAGGAGTCTCTGGATCATAGGGTTGGAATATCTCCAATTTGTCAGAACCGTAAAGGACTGGTGGTTTTGGGATCCACATAGGGTCCTTGGACATATGAACTTTGGGTCTTTTGTCTTCCATTTCCTGTGGCAAACTTCCTGGACGTTTGACCTTCTGGACGATTGCTAGACCAAGAAGAAGATTGGGGCGGTTTCTTTCAAGTCCTGGAAAAAAATTAGATAACACATTAGAAAACACACTAAGTCTAACAACTCTCTGGTATGGTTTTGGTATGAACCCTCACATATTCAAACATATAAAACAGAAAAATGTCAATTATTTATGAATAGGCAACAGTCAAAGCATTTCACACCTGGTCCTTCAAGAGGTTGTAGCATAGATGGGATTGGTTCCTTTGCACTGAGTGGGACAAGGTATACATCTTTGATGGAACGGCTGCTATTGGCGACCACACCGAAACGACCTCTGCTGCTGAAATAGGAAAAAAGGGAGACATAGGCGACCTCCTCTTCCTCTGTTGCAGGGTGAAACCGGATCACACATAACTCCTAACAAATACAAAGCAAACAAAAGTGCATGTAAAATACTGATGTAGCCTCAACATTATTATATGTGGTAAGATGCAAAAAGAAATACAGTATATTCTGCTTGCCTTTGTAACTGAGGTCTTTAGTTTTGCAACGTAGTCCCACACTGTTTGAGGCATGATTCGTCCTCCAATTTGTATAGTGTCAGGTAGATCCTATACAAACCACAAAAATAAATGCTTTTTATATCTCCACCCAGTGACAATTATAAATCCTTTTGATATAGCCAGTAAAAAATGTAATTAATATCATGCATTACAATACCGCTTTAAGATTTTCAGCAGATCCTGACACCAGATATCCCTTGGTGACAAACTTGGCTACAGTGAGCATGTTTAGAAAACCCTTCCACAGTATTTCCTGCTTTGCCAGGAACTGAGTTGTCTCACCATCAGCTGGAGATTCAGAGATCACGGTTCTGAAACAGAAACCACAACAATCACATGTACACAATGCCCAGCTTCTGGACAAATTTAAAAACAAAAACAAAAAGCAAAAAAACATTGGCTTGGAGTTCTTTATACCTCGAGCGTGGTCCATAAAGTCTGGGATCAGCAGTGGAAGATGGCTTCATTAAGATGGATTTAGGTACTGTTTTGGTTGGTGGTAGTGATGATGCTACGTTCGATGCAATGTTTTCTTTAACAAGAGCATAAGGAGCTGCCCGTTTATGAGTTGTGTTACTGGAACCAAAGATGCTACTAGACGAAGCTGAGAACCTGTTTGCAGTGCGGGGATCACGACGCTGTGTAATGGTTACCGTGGAAACGGGTGGGACCAAAACTGGTATATATGGTCTTTTTGGTGCAGTAGCTTTAGAGGTATCTGGAGTTGGGGATGCAGGGGACTCTATGGTAGGAGAAGCAGGAGATTCTAAAGTGGGGGAGGCTGGAGAATCCATTACAGGAGAAGCAGGTGATTCCACTATAGTCAGTGCAGCAGAATCAATATTGAAATGGGATGAAGGGTCCAATAGGTTGGATGCTGGAGAATCCATGTCAGGAGAGTCAGGTGGTGCCAGAAGTGGGGAGTCATCCCCTGCAGACTTTCTCCAAGATGGTTCGTGCTTATCTCTGGATACAGATAGCTTGGATTTTTTCTTTGCAGGTTCCTCCTCTTCCATAGGTTGCATTTGGCCTTTAGGAAGGAATGACAAACTACTTTTAAAAATCTGAATTTAACAGCTAATCAGCAGATAATGATGTCTAGTAGTTTTTACATTTATTCTCATCGTTTTTTAAATTTACCTGTGCATATCTTGCATTTTAGGTCAAATAGATGAGTTTTGTGCTCTGATGTTGTGTCTTTTAGCATGCAGGCAAGAACATCTGGCACTGCATTGGCCAGGCTTGTTTGGCTTGCCCTGGGCTTGACTGCAGGAGCAGGAAGACTTCTCTTCTGTTCCTGTAAAGCAACATATACCAACACAAGAACACAAAAAATAATTCTTAGTCGATGTTGATGTAACGCGTCATGAAAAAAAATATGATGTAAAAGACACAGCATAATCACCATAAAAACTGTATATCCAACTGTTTAATTTAAATAAGATAGGTACGTACCATGCTATCAGGTTTTCTGTCAGATTTTGCAGGATTCAAACTGGGTAAATCAACCTTAACTGCTTCAGGCTTTGGCAAACTTATTTTAGCAGCTGTATCCTTAACCTAGAAAGACATAAGGAACCATTTAAGATAATCACTTATGACAAAAGCATTGGCTGATCTTTATCAGGCCTGATATCAAGTAGAAGCATACAATACAATTTTATTTCACTGATATGGTTTATGACTAATATTATTTACCACTGTTGTTTCTTTCACACTTGGCTCAGGTGCCTTGGTAGCCTGCATATCCTTCTGGCTCATCCTAACTAGTCTGAAAGGATTGATATCGCCATGTACCACACAGTATAACAAGCCCTAGAAGACATAAAGAAGTAGATTGTCAATTTGATTTATATTTATATGTACATAAACTAAAATTGGTGTTAACAAATTTCAACATACCTTGTTTCTTGGGTCTTTTAGGTTGAACATTATAGTTCTGTACTTGTTCATGTATTTGCTGTCTGTGTTGCGAAATATGTCAAACATCTCCATCTCAATGCTTGCAACAAGCTTTGCAGCTTCGCTCTCAGACATCTCCAAATCCTCACATTCACACACCCTTAGCAAATGGAAAAAGAAAAACAGTTAGTCCAGAAATGTGCTGTTTTTCAAGACTGAGAGACATTTACTGCAAAAATTTAAAGCTTAGTTTGAGAAAACTGTTAAATTGTCTAGGACACTTATTTACACTGTGTTGGTAATGCTACTTAATAACCAGTCACCGAGATGAGAATGATTCTGAATTGTGGAAGGCAAATAAAACAAATGTTGGTTCCCTCAGCGCAGTTCATTACTGCATGCTCAAGTGTCATTTTTAAAAAACAAAAAGATACTATACTTACATTTTTTTTCTACTAGACCTATTATTATATGTTTTTAATAATCTCATGTTACATTTACTCCCCCAAAAAAGCAGAATATGTGCAATAAAAAAACCTAAGGCTGTGACTTTCATTTAATCAGTGATATAGTTCTCACCTTTTGAACAGGATGCTGGTGAGAGAGCGCTGGATACTCTGTCTGACCTGGTTATTGGGTTGAGAGGGCCTGGAGGAGGGTGCACTGGGTGCGGGTGGCACCGGCAGATTTCGGGTTTCATTCAGGGGTGTGGGGGCTGAAGACAGCTTCTGGCATGATGCTGAGACTAATGTGTGGCTTGATGGAGACTGAGATCCAGACTGCTTCTTTGGTATAACATATGTGGTCTTCGTTATCATAAGAGCCCCAGTCTCATGATGTCTGCGCGCTGAGGTGGTTGGGGACGATGTGGCTGGAGTCGGGCTAGATTTTTCTGGGGCGGGTGTTATTAGGGGATCTGATTCTGATGACTGCTGCTTTGGCAAGTCACTGTTTACAGTTTCCTTTGCTCCTTCTTCACAGTGGCTTTGTGGCTGGGCTGCTTCAGTGGTAGGTTTAGAAAGGAGACTTGCATCTAGTGAAGGGTCTTCTGGAGATTGTGCTGAAGGAGATACAGCTTCCTTCTCAGCCTCTACCTGTTCACTGTCCTTATTAGCTGTTAGGGGAAAAAAGCACAAGAGGCCATTCTGTAAATATGAAGAAATCTCTCAGAACAGTCTATCAAATAAATCTAACTGTGATAAGAACCAACATGGCACACTAGATAAACAAATAAGTGGCATCTTAAAAAAAAAATAAAAAAAAAAATTTCTTACTGCAAATCCATGAATAAAAAACTGGTCTTGCACCCCATTAACTGCTCAGATACTAAACAGTAAATATAAAGATTTACAAGTTCTGTATCAGATTCAGAGTCCCATCTATAAGATTCGGATTCAAATTGCCAGATGTGTGAATAAACTTGTAGTTCATATGGCCAGATAATAATAGGTTAGGTAATTTAAAAAAATTCCTTTTGGTGATTTTATGACTGTAAAATTAGAAGAGGCAAAAACTGAATTACAGGCACAGAGACTCACAAGTACAGGCTCATGAACATTTAACATAAACTTGTTGTTTAAAAAAACACAAACTTTATTGTATAATACATCAAATGCTTCCCTACAATGATATTAAGGAAACTTATAGCACTTCTTAATTTGTTTTTTTGTTTTTTTTAGATTAACCAATTCAGCCTGGTTAAACATACTCTAAATGATAACAAGGTAAAATGTTGTACTTTGGAGCTACAATGATTAATCCAAGAGCAGTTTAGGCATTTTAAATTTGCATGTACAGCTACACTTAATATTTGCTTTTCAGCATCATTAGCACTGCCTGGCTTTACTCTCCTCACTGTTTGCAGTGAGAAGTCTTGCATTTATCTTAATTTATTTGTTTATTTTTTAGTTTTGCATTAAAAAACAACAACAAACTGAGCTAAAGTTCAAACAACTCTGAATACACTGAGTTTTATGTGTTTAATTTTTGGTTGATCAAATATCAAACCTTAGTAAAATGTGTTTTTATATGCTATTGTTGGGGCAATCACCCATTTTATTTATTTATTTATTTTTTGTAGATGCTGAGTTCACAATAAAGCCCAGTATAGGCGGATATTTGAAATCTATTGTGGAGAAGTCTTTGTTTGCTCATTGCTCCATGAATACTTTCATTCTGGCATATAACTATATTACTCTGTCTATCCAGAGTAATGCTAGCAAGTGAACTGTATATGTGCAGTTATTGTTTTCCGGTTCCACTCACTGGAAGAAAAAAGAAAAAGATCCTTTTTTGTATACATCTATATTCCATGTACATTTTGTATGACTTCAGTACTATGTGTTTGGTAACTCTTGTACAAAAAAAAGGACAGACTTTCCAAAACCTCTGCACTCCTGGGGTGTATTTGTTTTCCTCTCAAAGGCTTTTTAAAATTTATCAGCAATTATTGTTTACTGTGGAATGCTGAGGCATTAAAAAAGCGTGTTGAGTCTCATGAACACACTTCACATTTATCACTATGAATGAGAATTAACCACACAGGCATAGTTCTGTGATTCCAAACTACTGAAAAATAGACCCAATGTATCATTTATATTTAGATTACAAATTTCACATGCACACAAAATGTTTGATAAATGTGCTTTAGAGTTCTGCTATAAGGAGGAAAATCATAATCTACTGACTTCCTGTGCCTGACATAATAACAAGTTCTTCCAAATAAAATTTCATAAGAAAAACTAACATCAGATCTTCATAAATCACACTGCCTGCTACTGTGTATTGGACTTGCTGTGTAAATAGCTGTCTGTGCATAAGACACATACAAATAGCTCTGATACATTAGTGCAGAGCCACTGGGATAATAAGCAAAAACATTACAATATAAAGCCAGTTGTATTGATGAGGATGTTTCCAAAAGGATGTTAATAATCCAGCCCAAAACCTGAACTTGGTATTGATATAAAGTTAATTGTTGCTATTTATGAATTACAGCTGAATGAAATGACAACATTTTATGTTAGCTCAACCAAAGACAACCAACAATAAAGGCTTGTGTGTAAACCTGTATAATCAAAGTGCCCCTGAGGACAGGTAATGTGACTATTACAGGTTATTCTAAATAGTTAATCCCATATTTAACCATGCTAATAATTTTTAAAAATGATTGATAATGATTTTACTATATTTATTATACTTTTACATATTTAACTTCAGTTTTATTGTGAGAGTAAATTATTTTTGTTCAACAGCTAAAACACCAAAAAAAAGAAAATATATGCAATTTGTATTGCATATATAAATTGATAAACTGCACAAGTGCAATAAAACATCCCAGCTTTGCATACTACTCTGTTAGGCAAAACTTTTTAAATTGCTATTTATAAACACAGCTTTTGAACCCTAACACAAATAATGCGTGCATTTTTCAGCCTTTCCACTTATAAAACTGATGAATTTTATGCATAACATATAATACACTGGTCCCATTTGGAATATCAGACAAATACCATCCAACTTCTGCAAGACCACACAAAGTCCTGTTGAGGTTGTATGGTGTGCTTTGGAAGTCTTAATGTTCACATGTGGAAGTGTTTGAGTATTTATTGTGGGATTAGGACAGATGGCACAGTGTAGCCTCAGCTTAGCAAGAATAGGAAAGATGAGCTTTTTTAGGTCAGTGTATGGCATGACCATTATTATGAAGCAGGAGGCTTAAATCAATGCAATGTGAAGGAAATCAAGGAGATTTTGTATGAGTAATGTAGGCTCTTAACCTTGGATTATAAGGTGCCTTGAGGTGACTTATTGTGAGTTTGCACTACATCAATAAAAAATTAAATGAACAGAAAAAGTGAACTTCCAGAAATGATGAACATTATGGTTAGAAAACCCAAATTGCTAAAAGAAACAGGAAACAATGACACATCTTCAGAGAGACAGGAAGCACCGTAGATTGTAAAAAGAATTTGGAAAAGCAAGAAAATAAAAGATCAGGGATTTAGTGCGTCATCTGCAGAGATTTTACTGCTTTCTTTTGTCCACTGTCAAGCAGAAAGGCTTAAGACAAAATGAACAATGTAAAAAAATAAGGATAGAGCAAAGGAACAAACATGCAAGTGAGTCACTTCTATGAGCTAAATCATGAAGAATCTTTATTTGTGTGATTAGGCTACTGTGTATGTGAGTCAAAGTGAGAAAGAAACAAGCATTTGCCACAGTGAGTAGGTGCAAAGTTATGATGCAAATCTTTTTCAGTTGTTCAGAACACATATCTATGAAACTCCTTATTTATTGACTAAAATTAAGAATGTCGTCACTTTAGGTATTTGTGCTGAAGTTTCAATAAATGTTCAGCAAGGGAGTTTTTCAGTCACAAACTTTGGTCATCTGAAGGTACATTTCTGCTTTAATCCTGTTCTCATCCTTTGCATAATTTCCACTGTCCCATACCGTCAGACGTCATTATAATGAAAAGGAACACAAACACCAACCGATTAACACCTTGACATTCAGGATCCTCATGAGGACTTAAGGCAAAGGTTCCATCTACTATTTCTTTGATTAACCTAACCACTATCAGATGAGGTGTCTTCATAGTGTCCTACTATTAGTGAAAAAACAAGAGTGGGCCAGGTGTCAACAACTGATATTTGCTGCAGACTTCAGTAAAAACAGCTTTACTTATCCCTGCTCACTATACGTGTTAATTGTAAATATTGCTTTTGTTGTTTTTCTGGTGTATTTACTGACAGATGTACTAAATCTGTCAGGAAATCAGTTATTGCACTGTGAAAAACACAGAGCGTCGATGTGGCAGCTAACTGCAGTTGGCTTAAAGTTTAAATAGCAATGAATCAGTATCTAGCTCCCATGAGGTCGTTTTGAAAGCTGCACCACAGGCATACCCAAACACAACCTGACAGCAGTCCCCCCTTTTTCTGTCAATGGACTTGAGGTAGAATACTTAATATACACTGATTTGGCAAAATATCATGACTACTGTCAGGCAAAGTGGGATATAACTAGGGGGCAAGTGAACATTTTTTATCCCCAAACTTGCTGTTTTAGAATTAGGACACATGGGTAAGAGTAAGGATTGAGTTTTGATCAAAGTCAAATTGTGATGGCTAGATGACTGGGTAAGAACATCTCCAAAACTGCAGCTCTTGTGGAGAGTTCTGGGTCTACAGCAGGCAGTATCTATCAAAAGTGATTAAAGTAAGGAACAGTGGTGAACCAGCAACAGGTCATGGGAGGGCAAGGCTCACTAATGCATTTCGGGAGTGAAAGTTGTTCCATGTGGTCTGTTCCAACAAACAAGCTCCTGAGGCTCAAATTGTCGAAAAAGTTCATGCTGGTTCGTACAGTACATTGGAGTTTGTTGTGTAATGGGCTGCATAGCCACAGACCAGTCAGGGTGCCTGTAGTGACCCCCCTCCACCGCCAAAAAGCAGAACGTGACCAGCAGAACTAGACCACAGGGGAATGGAAGAAGGTGGCCTGATCTGATGAACCACATTTTATTTTATATATACACTGTGCAATTTTTTCAGTCGCGTTATTCAGCTCCTGCTTAAATTGTACGATTGAATCGCAGGGGTTAGAAGTTCATGGGTCCCTATTCACGGTCTCACACTATACGGCCCGATGCTCTGATGCGACCTGAGTGCTCACACTGTGCGTCTATAACATGAGATTTATAACACAAAATCTGTCACTTGCTCTCCCCCTCGTTCTGTCTTTCACTCACACAGACACACACACACCACCACCATCAACTTTGCTATATTGCTAATGAAAAACATTGACCAGGCAGCTGCAATTGAGCAGCAATGTCCATCCAACTCTTTTCATGGTTGATGCGGTCGTGATAATTTTGTGAGGCCACATTGAAAAGTTCTACGCGCTGCGCTGCCATGCTACTCCGTCTTTTTCACTTCCATTTCTGTGTTTGCGCGTGCGCAATGTGAGAGTTTGCGTCGAAACCCTCACGAGGGGGCGACAGGATTTCAAACAGGTTTGATTTTCTTGTGACCATATGATTGCTGATCGGGAGCTGATCATGAGGTTTTAATCGCTTCTCGTTATCCCATGTATACAACACGATGC